ATCTTAATGAATTGATTATTTTTATAATTATTATACGCTTTCTATTATGGTGCTCTTTTATGTTATAGAATTTTAATATGGTAGACCAATAAGTAAAAAATATTTAGATATTTATTTAATACTCGAATGTAACTATGTGTGTTAAAATCACACTATAAACATACCTACTCTTGTATAACAAAAGTGTAAACTTTAGTAAAAAAAGGACGATAAAAATATTTCAGGTTTATATTAAAACTAAGCAGATCACCGTACTAAACTGTTTCTTAAACGACTTTTAAAAGATTTTATTTCTAGCAAATCTTCAGCAGTAAACCGTTTCAAAACTGCTATCTATTTTTCGTTATAATATAATCTATTTTTCGACATAATATTTATAAATTTCATAAACTCCAAATCGAAATTTAATACAAAATTAAATTTACTAATCAACTATTACTATGGTTTAGATTAGTAATAACACTGACGCGACTTATCATATCAAAATTACATATAACTCAAATCAAAGATGTGACAAATTTGACGGATAAAGATTTCCGGTGTCGTGGTATGGGGTTAAACGAACCGGGGGCATCGTACACTTGATGTTGGTTACTTGGAGTTCTATTACCTTCTCAAGGCGAAATTAGATACTTAGGGCGTACTTACCAACTACGTGTACATACATTCTGTGAAACACAAAATGTTATAACGTGGGCATATATTTTAATATAATCGAACAAAGTGTTTTATTTTTAGTCTCCTTTTCATTTCAATGCATCTGATAATCTATTTTATAACGTAGCTTCGTCCACTCGAAACATGTTATCGTTTGCTTTCATAGGAATTATTAAAATACCTTTCTTAGTGAATTCCTAGATCATTGAAGAAAACTATATTCGAAATTTAAAATTTATTCCAACGATGCATTGTCCAATGATTGTGTGTTGGCCAAAATGATCAAACAGCTATTTCATGTAGTACACTCATACATATTGTATAACAAAAATTAAAAGTTTTTAAATATTTGTTGGTGTCAAATCCTTGTCATAAATATGAAATACTGCAGATGTTATATAGTCAATAGACGATATATTTTTACAAAACTTTTAACAATATTGCAGTTTGTTGTAGGTATCTCCAAACATCACTAACTGGTTATAAATGAGTGCATAATTAATCTTTGACACTTTTTCTTTGATTTTACTCGTATGCTGTGAGAAGAACATCATGGACATATGTAGAAATGTAGTTTCAACAAATTAATTTATTATCATTATTATTACAAAACACATTCATTGTTATAGTGAGTCATGTTTTTGATAGTGTGGCTACATAGTGACTAGTATTACAACAATCAGTCGCCTACTCAGAAATCCTTCTTTTATTCCGCGATAGAGAAGTCGATGACATGACGTCTGATCGTAAGTCATCGCCTTTTAACCAAAATTTATTTCCTTAATCAAAGTGAGCAAGTAATTACATATTTTCCACGAAATAATCGCTACAAACGTGATTGCGTATAAGTGATAAAGCTTAATAGAGGGCAATAATATGGCATATTATTTGTCATTTTATCTAAATACTGTTTGCAGAAGCATAATCGGTGTAGCCCGAATAGTTATTAAAGCTGATGTTGACGTGTACCTAATGAGCAACGATATGTCATATGTGACAATTGATACATCGCCGATATTCTGATTATTGATTTACATTCATATTATAATACTATATCCGCGATTTCGTTTGCATGATCAAGACCTTCTCTATGTTAAATATTATACGTGTGCGAAATTTCAAGATGAGTTGATGTAGCAAGAGGGAACAAACAAATACTATTATTATATTAATAAGAATAAAGATTTCATCTCTAAAACCATTATCTAAAAACTTAATAAATTATTATTTACTAGCTTTTCTTGCTACTTTATTCGCTTGACTAGGATACAAAGTAGCCTACGATCTTCTTCATACTCAAAGTACTATCTATACTATATTTGCTGTTAACTGTTTATTGCTGAACATAGGTCTCCCTTTGGGGTGTTGTGCCAGTAGTTGTCATGTTTGGCATACAGATTGGTAACAGCAGTTAGGCTTTGGTGATAGATTAATAGGAACGCTGCTGCTCATCTCTCGACCATTATGTTCCCTCACTCGCCTTTTACGACACCTACGGGAAAGGAAGGGGTAGCCCATTCTATACCGCGACTATATAGTAATATAAAGAAGATTAAGTAGCCTTTGGTGATGGTTTAAGAAGAACAACGCTGCCCATCCCTCGATTATTAAGCCCCTTAGTCGTCTTTTATGATTTTTGACTGGATTTTTTGTATTTCAATGAATGAAAACCTGTGTTCCTTTTACATACAAATACTTCTTAAATACAAATTACATACTCGTAGTATATGTAACTCAAAAATTCGTAACAAAAATAAATTTTTGGTTTGATAATCAAAAATTTTTGTTGGTTTTTAAAGAATCAAATAAGGGATGAAAGTTTGTAAAGGAGTTTTGTTATTATATATATATAATTGAAGCTAGAAGTACGAAGCTTTTGCTTTAGAATTCTGTTTAGAAATAATTTAATACCCTTCAGTGTTTTTGGAAATTTTACTCCTAAAGACGTGAAATGAAGGACGAAAATTTATATAGAAGTTCTGTTATTTTTTAAGTTAGAAGTATAAAAGTTTATTTTTAGGCTATATATATATATATATATATATATATATATATATATATATATATATATATATATATATATATATATAGTATTATTAGGAAAATTTACTCCTTAAGGGAGTAAGATAGAGAATGATTTGATTTATATGAAAACTTGAATGTAAATTTATTAATTTTACATTAGGCAGGTGGAATTTCAAATTTAATGATTTTCTAAAAATTAAAGTGGTACTAACCACATGAGACCGAAGCCGAAGGCAAAAATTAGTTATATAAATACACATACATACTTTTTTATACCGTTGAGATGGCAAACAAGCATACGGCTCATCTGATGGTAAGCGGTTATCGTACCCTATGAACGCCTGCGATACCAATTATTACGTGCTCGTAGCCGACTCTGATGAAACCTCTTTTTTAATTTTTTAAAAACCCCGTGCTGTAGTCTCTTGGGAAAACTTCGTTATATATTATTTATATTACATATATGTCTAAACGCATTTTATTCACTACCTTATTTCGACCTTTATTACATTTATGTTTAACTCGCCTGATCGAGCGGTGTGTCAATATACACTGCATTTAAAGTGCAACTTGCAACAGTTTACGGAAATTACATATATTTACTACGTTAACAGTCGAATATAGCAAATATTATACATATTTTTATGTTCTCTTACTTAATTTTTTGTGAATATGATTTTATAGATCAGTGTTTTTTGGATATATTGCTACAGTACATGTTTATAAAATGGTTACTGGTTCTACTATTTTAATGTTATTTTTATTATATTATTTAAAAAGAAATGACATCTGTTGACATGCTATTTTTTTATTTATTTTTTTCACTTATTTTTACTAATATTTTTTTTTAAACTATAATGATAATTAACAATAAAGGTTCATTTTGAACATTACAGTTAAAAAAAAATTACTCATAAAATACTAACATTAATTTTTATAAGAAATAAAGTAAACAATAGTACCTGAATAAAATTAAATATCTTCAAATATGAATAATTTTAATTAATAATAATAATAATAATTTATTTCAAAATAAATGTTACATTTTAAATATAGGTAAAACTCTGCTCCCTAAATAGGTAAATCCTGTACTTTAGGATAAGCAGTGCTCTTCCCTATACGACATAATGACACAAAATTATATAAAAAAGAAACAATACAAGTTAAGGTACTAATACAGTAATAATTTAATTTGCCCAAATAATATTTTGTAAATGAAATCATGAGTGTGTAATTTGTGAATTTATAGAATGGATTAATCATTATCTGCAAGTAAGGTACCCCTTGTAATTTTTATTAAAGCTGACTTTACATGTTCATTATTTTGATTGGGATAAATCTCAATGACTTGTGCCAACTACCAAATACTATGAACAGTATTCTCATCCTTAACTATAACAAAGTCAACCTTCTTTATATTTTTTCTGATATTCTTTCAATTAGAACGATTGTGTAATACTACTAACTATTGTAATTTCCATTAATGCCAAAATTGTTGCATTAATGCACTAAAACTTAGAAAAAGTGATAATCGATTGTGTTGAATATGCATCATGTTAAGTTCAAGTATATCCATCAAGGAGTTACCTATAAAAATGAGCTAGAGCAAGACAGATCAGTCATTAGATAAGTCTGGTATCGCACATAACGACTTATAATGCAATATTCCTTCTATTATATTCAATTTCTCATAAGAGAGCTTTGTATCACCTAACTGCTTATTCAATAATATCTTAGCGGCCTTTATGCCTGCCTAACAAAAATAATTAATAGATAACTTGCATGCATATGATAATATTTTATTGTACAATGTGTCGTCTTTAAAAATTATATAGAAGTTTATTGTTAGCACCTTTAAAATTTGCATTATCGGAATAAATAGTATTACAAATATCGCGTCGCGAAATTATACGAGTATGTTTCATCGCTAAAATAAAATTGCATTACCGTCACTAAATGAAAAATAATTTTAATACATAGATATACAATTTATTTGAATCACTTACAGTACACAAATAACAACAGACATACACAAAAATGAACAACTTTGACTTCCGTGTGGTTATCATCCGTAAAGAAGTTGCGGGTGAAGAAGTCTCCTTTTTTCAGTCGGAAAAAGGATCATTACTTTTAATAAAACACCGTAGTTAACAAGTTGTAAATGTACACCGTAGTCCTCGTACCGTAGACTCCTATGTAGGCTCGTAGCAGTGTACGTAGATGTGTAGCTAGCTACGGTTCAACGTGAATGCGTGGAGCTACGCTGTGCGGCCGTCATCTACGCAGACGAGGCCACCTATATAAAGCGCGGCGAAACACAGGACACAGCATTTGCTTTCAAAATCGGCGGACAAGGCGGAAGAAGAACTTGTTCGATACCCATACAAGTCAGCCTAACTACGTTACACAAATAAAAGTTTACTGTCAAGTCATTAAACGGTAAGTATTTTTGTTACAATTATCAATCCCTTTCAACCGTTTTGATAAATTTGAATTATATAGATTTATTTAATAATAATAATCTAAATTTGATTGTTTATTAAAAATGAGCAAACAGCTGAAAATATTCTGACATTTAAAATATTTTTTAGGTATACATACGTAATTCAGAATTAATAGAGTTATTCGTCTCCATCCATTTGCGTACATTTATTACTGTTTGAACATTCATACATATTCATAATTTAGATACATTATACTTTATGTAAATTATTAAATTTGATATCTAGAAAACATTTTCTAATTTCCAGTGCTAAACCAATTTTCTGTATATTGACTTAATATAACAATAAAAATAGGTCTCAATGGACGATTGAAATTCCAAAATTATTTAATCTATCATTGAAAAATTTAATTATTGTTTCAAATGAATTCAGAAAAATATCGAGTTTAAATAAGTTAGTAATTAAATACAAACGGACTAAAAATATGTGTCGGTAAAAATTTACGAGTTAATTTTAAATAATATTGAAGTTCCATTAAAAAATAATTGTAGAATTAGAACCGCGTTTAATCAATAATAATCTATACATTACTATAATTAAATTATTAAAAAATATATTAATAGAAACCGGTAAAAAATTACCTTACATTTTAATGAATAAATAAGTGCTTAATAATAAGTAATTATTATTAGTAATAATAATAATTAATTCGTAACAAAGAGCGCAAATTTGAATCTAGGATTTGTTTAATAAATTGATCCAACTAAAAAATAATGATATCTAATTTTCATGCAACGACGTACTTTACCACTGTTTTTACTATACCACTACGATGTTCTAATTTGACATGAACATCAGATTGATGATCATTGATTGATCAAATTTTTTATTGTTTGTATCATTTTTTGTGACTATGGATAGTATAAAAGAAATCTCGGTAAGCCAGAATGTACATTCTTGAGACATGGGAATGTAATTCGTTGCTACGTATCCAGTGCAATTGCAGGTGAACAAATAGATATAGGTACATATATTCCGATATAGTACTAGTTATCCGATTCATGTAATTAATTTTATCAATAACAAATTGTATACAATCATGGCTAATAATATACATGTACATAACAGTAGTAGCCCGTAGCATATTTAGAAAAAAATTAAATCTCTAATAAAACTATTAAAATTGCCATGTTTAAAGCACTAAAATAAATTATGTTAATATCATTTCACGTATATATAATATTTTATTAGTTAATAAATAATTTGTGTTATAAAAATGATATTAACAGTATTAATTATACTAATTTTACATTTAATAGTAAATCCATACAAATATGACTACGCATTAATTAACGACTGACTAAATTTATTTAATGTCGCATTTATGAATTATAATGAAAATGTAACCCCGCTTCTTCTATTTGTTTACCCTAGCAGGGTAACAGTTAAGACTGATAGGTATGAATTAAATTAGGTCAGTTTGACGAACGTGACGAATTCACTGATAATTAATCGCGAGGGGACCCAAGAGGGACCACTTGGAGGTCGACCTGAAGGTATATCGCTAGCAATGGGACCGCTAGTCCCAGTTACTTCCCCCCCACCCCCAGAATATTTGTTTAGGCACACCGCAGCGTGTGTAAATTTACGTAGGTACGCGTAAATACCCATGGAGATGATAAAATTGCCAAAATTATCAGGAAGAGAAATATTTTATACCAGCTATCATCTACTGAACATAATTATTAACAAAAATATTGATAATAATAATTTAATTTTTATAATATTAACATAAGACTTAATGGAAAGTTAAAGCTAATAAATATAGTCAAAATCTACTGAGAATCTTTTCCATTCATATATCAGTAAAAACAACTAGCTCTAATTTAATTTTTAGAAAATTAGTATGGGACCAAATAAAAACATCAAAAATATTAAAAGTAAATCCCTTCAAAGTTATATTAAAATCTACTAGTTAAAAAACTAATTAAAAATTCAAATAAAAATTTAATGAATTGAGTAAAATATAATATATTTAAATACTTTAATCTGTCTTACACGATAAAGTTTTATGAATAAGAATAAAGGTACCCAATAATTGCATGACCTACGTTCTATCAACAAAGTGTTCGCGGGGGGAAAGGGATTGTTAGTAATAGAGACTGAGAATCCCATTGCTAGCAATATACCCAACCAGGTCGACCTCCTCGCGGTTCTCCCTCGAAGCTATCATGGTTAATTCCTGATGAATTCATCATGATGGGCTAACTGGCCTGTTTTCATTCTCATCTATCACCCTTCACTGGTGCTCCGTAAGCGTATACCATTAGCACAGGCGGGGTTACCATACCAATTTCACCCATCAAAAAAAAAAAACCAAAGTGTTCGCGTGAATATAAAAACAAAAAATACATCAATATTAACAAATTCTAATTTTAAATCTAGAACAAATTTAATAGAACATTATAAGCTAAGATATCTAATAATATATACAAAATAACAGTATTATTGTAAACAATCCTTTTTTTGGAGTGGGAAAAATATTATACAATGTTTATTTAAATTTAGATACCGGTCCCTAAAATAATGTACACCGATGTTACACTTAACGACTAACTTTATTAATATTATAAGTTAAATCGGTTTGCTTGAAACTTTACTACACTTTCAAACTTGTATAAAATATTCATGAAACTTAGTTTTCACAACGCTATGAACTTAAGGTGTAATACATTATTGTTAGATAACTGAAAAATAATGATGTAAACGCAATGTTCAGACAGAACAGGAGTTTTGTAGATTACAAATATTTCGAAGGCTTTCGCTTCCTTAATGGTAGTAAATACTGTTAAATTCATTTTAACGGGTAAACTTTCGTAAATTCGTGTAAAATGTTACGCTGAATATTTGATGAGTTTGTACCCAATTCTGTTCTCTCACTCTTAATAATTTCATCAATATCCATTCTACATTTTCATTTGTAATTTCAATTTTTAACAATAAGTTCAAGATGAACCCTCTTATTCTTAAAAACAAAAACATCCTACAGGCCTATTTTAACTATTAGAGTGACAAAATATGTCACTGTCAGTAAAATTGAAAAATTAAAATCGTTTCAATATTTGAAATAGGTTTATAATAGGTACCTTTTATATACCTATTTAAAATATTGAAGTGTCCTGACATTTCCATAAAAGAATGGAAGGATATATATCTTTTTCATAAATTCTTATATGCACAACTACGTATTAACATAAAGTTGCAGTTTTTTATTTTTTAATTTACCGTTTACAGATGACAAATAAAAAACGAAATTTAATTTATATTGCATAGATATTATTAATAAGGACTAACGACTTTCACTCTTTTACTTTTATTTCAAAATGATTTTTTTTTTATTTCATAGTGTGCAATGCACTTCGTTTGGGCGATATGACTGACACACCAATTATAACTCATTGTAATAGTTATTGGAAGTTTGAGATAACGTAGTAAACAAACTCTAATAAACAAAAAGAAAATTTTGATACATAAACAAAGTTATTTCTGTTTAATAATGGGTTAGACGTAATAAAATTAATAAAAAGGTTGATATTGTATAACATTACGTTTTACTTAGTTCACTTACTAATTCGCAGTATAATGTGTTATCAAGAAGATCTGATATAAGTTTCTGCCGATTTCAATAATAGCTACTGTTTTAAACAATTTTCAACTTAAACAGTATTTTATTTTCAACTTCATAAAAAGTAGGTTCTCAATTCGGTTGTATTGCTTTTACGTTTATACAGAACTCTATCATTTAAAAATCGCTTTGGAAAATTCTTACTTTATCTGAAAAGATAATCTTTCATATTAGCTCCATAAAAAAAAATATTAAAATCGGTTCAGTAGTTTGTTTGTGTATCTATGAAAAATGATATGCAATGATGAACTCGAGTCAGTTGGCCCATTTCAATTCAGAACTTACATCACTACTATAAAGTATTAATAAAATCAATTACAACATTAAAACACTCTATTTGAAATAGTTTGACTTAAATGGTCCCACCATGTGTGTGGCAGAAAGTCTATAAAAAAGACAATCATTAATTAGTAAAAAAAATGTGGCGTATCATACGTCTTGTTTTTTTCACGGAATATATATCAGATATCCAAGTCACACGGATGAAAATGGCATGATAGATCCGTAACAAAAATATTCGCGGCAGCCTCGGTACACGTGACAAACCGACGAAATTCAACAAAGCCCCTTCTCGTATTTGTTGGATCTTTATACAATACATGAGGTTGGTAAACGAGTGTATTTTCTGTGACACTGTCTACTAGCAACACCGACGCATTGCCAACTTTAAATTCATTCTCGAAAAGGAATTCACTATATCCAGACAAAATAAGACTACATTGCAATTCAATATCCTATAGTTTCCTATTTTTTTCTGTTTCTGATGAATTATTTGTTCTTTTAAAGTATAATCGTTACTAATATTAGGTATAAATATGGCTTGTTATCTCTTAACACCATATATTGGTTCAACCAATCGTCACGAAATTTGATGTACGCGTAGGCTGTATTTGGCATAGAGATGGGCATAGGCTACTTTTTATATCATTGCTATATAGCGGATAAAGTCACAAACACATCGATCAAAAGTCGTACTATTCTTCATTTTTTGTTGGTACGCATGATTATTTCATTAGCAAAGATTATACATTTTACGTTACTTTATTTAATTGTTAATTGAGTGTAGTGTCTCATGCCTCATCTAAAAATTTTTGATAATTACTTAGATCAATTTTTAAGTTAAATTACTGCCTACTTTAATATAAAATATACTCAGCTATTCCCGTACGCTAATTTGGACGCTTACGATTATAATTATGACTAGCTTTTGCCCGCAACCTTGTATACATGGCATTTGAAAGTAAGTAACCACTTCAAGATGGCATATCAAAATAAAACCTACATCAAATTAAATTAGCATTCAATTTGGT